CTACTCTTTTTACCAACGAATAGTGGGATTGACCGTCACATTATAACGCCCACACGGCTGAAAGGGCGAGCATGTTTGCTGTGACGGTGATTCGAACCCGCGACCCTCAGATTGCGAGTCGAGCGCGCTAACCACCTGGCCATGTCGGGCCTTGAATATTAGTTTTTCTACTTGTTTTCGTAATGACTTTGTAATTTAACTTTTATCAAAAAATATAATTGTTATTTTTTGACAGGATAGGTGATTTGCCTCCCTGGGCAAATAACATTTGTGTTTATCTTGACATATAGTAAGACAGTTTATGTTATATCTACTTTGCCTAGTTTTATTTTGCCTGGCCTAGTGTTTTTTTCTCTAGTTTCCAGTGAGTTTCTCTCTTTCTTAATGGACTAATAAACCGCAAACATGTATTTTAGGAGACAGTGCTTAAACACTTCAGTTGTGTTGAATTTCATATAAATTAGTTCCGAACATTTCTTTTACTTGTTTGTGAAATTACTGGTTATTTGACTGAAATTGAATATAGCTGAATTGTATTCATATACCATTTTTTTCAGATAATTTACTAAACTCTTATGAATTGCTAACACATTTATGTATCTTAAAACTAAACCTACATTCTCCATCAGAAGACTGGCCACCTTACATTTTAATTCGTAAAAAACTCAGCATGTTTCTTGATTAAATCGTGTTTGTTTGTTTTTGTACTTTTTTTTCATAGTTGATAAATATCTATACGTACATCACAAGGGAAGATTGTGTTGTATTCTATCAAATTTATGGACTATCTGCGCATGACCGTCCTTAATTATGAACTGATGGACTGGAGGGAAAAGAGCATTGAAGAACACCACTGCCAATTCATGGGCTACTCTTGTCTAAACGAATACTAGGATTTGACCATTACTCTTATAATAGACCCAAAGCCCTAAAGTGCGGAGCGCGTTTTTGCGTTGCTGGGCCACGAAACATGAATCTTCAGATTCTCAGTCCGATCGACTAAATATTTACAAGGGAGTAACCTCTACTGCTTTATGCTGGGCATGGACTAGTGATTATTGTTCCAGTCTGAATATCGGATCGTCCAAGATTCGCACCGAGATGTTACTGAACGTGGCCCGCAATATTCGCTGTTGGTGCGTTATGAAAGTGGCAGTTAATCCCGCCCTTTTATTTAAAGGGCTAGACAAAGTGCTTATAATGGAGGGTACTGCTGGCTGGCTACCTTCCTTCTGGTCATTGGTGGCTTTTCTTGAATTCTAAATTAATTTCTACAGAGATGTAGATTTACCTACCAGCTAGTGATTATTTTCAATGAATGTTTAACTTGGCTTTAGTTTATACTCTAATTGAAAGTGTCCCGTTGTGGTATGTTTTCCTATATGTCAGTTCTGGCATGGCCAGGTGGTTAGGGCACTCGACTCGCAATCTGTGGATCGCGAGTTCGAAACCCCGTCCCATCAAACATGCTCGCTATTTCGGCCGTGGGAGTGTTATAATGTTACAGTCAATCCCACTATTCGTTGGTACAAGAGTAGTCCAAGAGTTGGCGGTTGGTGGTGATGCCTAGCTGCCTTCCCTCTAGTCTTTCACTGCTAAATTAGGAACGGCTAGCGCAGATAGTCCTCGTGTAGCTTTGCGCGAAATTCAAAACAAACCAAAACTCAACTGAAGATTCGTGGTTAACATTCCATTGTTGCAAAATCTCATGGGTGCGTTATAAGAATGACGGTCAAATTCCATTATTTGACCAGACAAGAATGACACAAGAGTTAGCAGTGAGTACTGTTGACTAGCTGCCTTTCCTATAGCCTATCAGCTTAAAACTAGGTACAGTATGCGCAGATAGCCATTATGTCATTTTACGCGAAAGCAGAAATAAAATCATACATTTTAAAATAATAGCCGTTCATGTAATGACAATAATTATCTTGGAACGTTAAAAATAAAAGTCCCAACAAGGTTGTATAATATCAGCTATCAATATATATTTTTACCCATATTTAGCATCCTTCTCACTGTGTACCAGAATACCAATAATAGAATAACAATAATAGGAATATAAGAATATCACAGAATACGAATTGTGTGTATTTATATAGTTATATGGATAACGATTCAAAAATGCCCAATACCATGAACTATCAGAATACAAGAAAAGGGTACTCTGTAAAGGTGTATTAGATGGTTCTCAAAGTGTAAACTGGGAAAAGTTAGAATTTTACAAACGAGCCTTATTTAATATTGTTTACACTTAACTCTTTCTGTAACCATTGTTTCTGGGACCATTGTTACCGAAACTCAGACGTATACGTGCTTCTTTTAGGGAGTAAGAAAGGAACTCAGGTATACCAGTTCTTTGTTTACAAGGCAGTCAAAACATGTCGAAGTTGTGAACACACTTAGTTTTATTTGCGCGTTCTTTTGTTACACTTTGTTTTTAATTTACACAATACTCACTTTAAAATTTTGCTATTTTAAACAGCCTACCTTTCAACATATTTGCTTCGTAATATTAGGTGTTTTGTTTGTTTGTTTTAGAGCAAAGCTACATTGGGCTATCTGCTGTGTTCACTGCGGAAAATCTAACCCCGGATTTTAGCGTTGTAAGTCCGTAAACTTACCACTGTTTCACCGGGGTACGTGTATGTGTTTCTTTTCAGAAAGACTTAAACGGAAGTTATTAACGTAACTTTTTGTTTTGTTTGAAGTTAAGCACAAAGCTACACAATGGGCTATCTGTGCTCTGCCCATCATGGGTATCGAAACCCGGTTTCTAGCGTTGTAAGTCCGCATACCGCTGTGCCACTGGGGCTCATTAACGCAACTATTATATTCAAATATTTAAGTATTCTATATGATAATGTGCTTTAAACTTATGTTACTGAACAGCAAGCGACCATATATGAATGGCGTATGACACGTACATACACAAAGATATGGTTTGAAAATCATTCTTTCATGATTCCGTTCTTATCTTTATTTGTTTTCTCCTCTAGTCGCGTAGTCTACCCAAATTCTATACAAGAGTAGAGGCCTACAAGAATCGAGCATCTGCTTTTTCTCTTTTTTCGAAGGTGAATTAATATCTGTTTCTGCAGACTCCACACTATTGGTGCGTGAAATAGCTCAGAGCCTGTCCACCCCTCTAGAATCAAATCCTTAATCTCTTCTCATGAATGACATGATTATTCCGTTACTATTGATCAAAGAAAAAAGTTCTTTACGGAGTCAAACTTAGGATAAAAGTAAAGTAAGCAAAGAATGTTTTAGTTCCCTAGCGACTATACTGGAGTCGATTATTTCAAGTGTAGATAAAAGTTTTGAACGAATATAACAGTGGTGACAGTAAAAACGAACAAAAGGAGAAATGCAATGTAGGAATACAAAGTAAAAATAAACCATTCTACATCTGTCAAAAACGTTCAAAACACTTCACTCCTTACTCAAGAAACGCAAGGGAACAATTAGAAAAGAAACACTAATCGATACATAAAATTTGAACGAAAGCTAGAAACGCAATTATAAGACTATTAAACCGGAGGAGGAGTGCATTTAGGAGTATCTATCGGTATGATAAAGAATATTTAAAATGGTATAAAAACAACATAAATATTGATCAGCCTAAAGTAACCAGAAAGTCCTTCATAAGACAGAAAGATAAAGAGGGCATATGTGTTTATTTCAGTGTAAAGAAAAATAAATACGAAACTAAAGTAAGATTAATCATGCCTACAAAACAAAGAGTAATTCTAAATATATCCCTCTCAGGGGTTAAAGTAAAATTTTTGCTCTAAACATGCCCGCAGACTGAGAGAAAAAATACTGGTGTTTTTCACATTAACTATGTAGCATTTCGATTAATTGAGCTATTTAACTTTATTTCAGATCGCGTTACACTGAAGACTTTACGAAGAGTTAGTAAGCATAAAGGTCTAGAAAAGTAAGACTTTGGGAGCTTCAGTTGATGTGTGGGTTTTTGTGTATTGCATTACACTATGTATAGTAGGTAGTAAACGAGTGTCTAGCTTGGATATGTATTTTTCCTTTTTTATTGCATATTTGTATTGTTGTATTACTGAATGTGATGTCTTTTTATATGCAGTGGAAATGCAGGATAGGATGTTCCCTATCTCCAAACTGTTGTATTTGAAAAATGCCAAAAATAGTTTTTGTTGTGATTTTTATGTTTCTGTTGTTGTTTCAGTGATAAACGGTGAGAAAGCGGCTTTCAACACCCCAACTTTTGCACAGAAACGAGAGCGAACACTGGATATGCTGATAAAGGACTTCTACACTGAACACTTGGCCGACAATCGCGGGGTAAATACATATCTGAGAATTTTCTAAATAAGGTTGAGGTTGGTTATGTTTTCGAATCTGTGTTTCCATCTTTAAATTTCTGATGGAAATTGGCTTTACACCTTTAAACGCTGACTCCTTAACATGCCTCCTACAGGTGTAGCGTATTATTCCTATCCTAAATATACGAAAATTTTTCACCCTTAAGCTACTTCTGCTAGATTACTAGTCTATCATACGGAAAAGCCCAAATGGCAGGCGATATATGGGTTTGAATGAGGATTCTTATCTGAAATTGTTTAAAATATTAACATTCTATGATTTACTTTGTTATTTGGACTATAATATTTATTATCACATTCTAAGTTACTGAAAAATGCAGAGTAAACACTGAGTCAGTACGGATCCATCTTCATCTCCAAAAACTTGGATTCGATATGGGTAATGATTCATTTGTAGTTTCTAATTTATCTGTAGTTTTCTTCTACTCTGTAATTACTTTCTACTACACTGATAAAATACGCAATTCAACATTTCATTCTTTCTAACGTAGCCCATCCATCTAATTGTTATCTAAATTGCACGTGGTATTAGGCATCAAATCTACAATGGCATTGCTATATTAGCGTGCGAGCACATTCAACCTCTTTCATATTAGCGTGCGAGCACGTTTAAACCTTTACCTGATATTGTACTTGTTTATGTTCTCAGTTATTCATTTTTTTTTAAATTTAAAATAATTTATTTTTATGTTTGCAGTTACTTGTAGAATTAAGAAAATTTAACAGAGAAATCAAGACTGTCGTGTTTACGGTCCTATGTTGTCGTTAACATCGACGTTTCTCAAAGTGTAAGTTGCGGACCACTGGTGGTAGTCCGAGGCTGTTCGAGCTTAAAGCCAAATATGAGACTGAAGCTCGCCAGCTTGGAAACAAACATCAACTCATTGGTGTCTCATCAAAATAAGCGCGAAAACGGGTGGGTTTGGACTGTTAGGTGGTTCGTAGGGTCTTTTACCCTGCCGAAGTGGTCGCGGCCGAAAATCTTTGAGAACCACTGGTTTAACTTACTATTAATACAAGTGTTTATTTATTTATGGCAATCTATTGCGTTTAAGAACAATTTTCAGTGCATTTTTAAAGAACAAACAAATATCAAACTTACTTTAACCGTTAGAATCGATATTAGTTTTTAATTGAACGACGTAACGAAGTGTGTGTTTCGTTGATCGAAGACTGGTGATAAATAAAAGCTCGAAATTCTATGGTAGCTTACTGTGTTTCCATTTTTCTTTTCTACTTATTTCAAATTTAATTCTTGCATTTCAAAAAGTATACGAAACTCGGGTCTTTAGAAAACACTTGAATATATTTTGGTCCAATTACGCTTTCTTATATAGACAATGTTGAACAGAAGAGCTTTCAGTGACGTACTTCCGGAAGCATCACGTGGTTCACGAAGAAAGGAAGAAGCCCGCCAGGTCGAATTTGTTCGGATCGGCCAGGTAATATTCTTCCGTTATTCCCCTTTCTTCATTTGTATGCTTAAGAAATATAAAATGCATCAACGTCAATACTTTTTTTTCCCCTCCTCAATACGTTATACTAATTCTATAATTAGTTTTTGATTTAAAAAAATAGCAATAACTTCTATGAAATATCACATTCGATTTCATATTTCAAAATGTTTATAAAAACATTCCATAAGTGTAATAACTGATTTTGTTAATATAGAATATTTTAATGTATAGTTGATTATTAGTAATATAAAATCGAATATCAAAGAAAATAATGAAACATTGTACGAAACATCTTATTCATATTCGTACTATTAAGATATTGCTTACAAGTTCGAAAAACTATTCAAAATGCAATGAATAATTATCAGCAACTGACATTTTGAACAAGAATCCAAGTATATGAGTTTTCCAACCTGCTATATTATTGTTTGTTTGCTGTTAATTGATTGTTGATTGATTGTTTGAATTTATGCACAAAGCTACACAATGGGCTATCAGTGCTCTGCCCACCACAGGTATCAAAACCCGGTTTCTAGCGTTGTAACTCCGCAGACATACCGCTAGGCCACTGGGGGGCATTTGCTGTTAAATACAAAGTTTTTCAGCAGACATCTGTGCTCTGCCCACTGCGTGTATCGAAGCCCAATTTTTAGCGTTATAAGCCCCCATGGTGACCGCTGAGCTACTGGGTAGGAATGAAATGTTAAAAGTTTATAATAATGTCATGAAATACAAGAAATAAGAATGAAAAATCTATTGTTTTGTACCTGAGACATTCATACATTTCAGTAAATACAAAATAAAATTGTTTTATAAGTTGTAATTAGTCCCCCAGTGGCTCAGTGTAGGCTTACGAAACTAAAACTCCGGTTTCGACACCTGTAGTGGGCAGAGCATAGGTGGCCCATTTTGTAGTTTTGCGCTTAAGAACTAAAGTTGTAATTGTATTAAACAAAAGTTGGAAAGCTATCAAAAAGCTCATTAATTTTCAAAATTAATTCATTTAGAAGTCGCTGAAATTATGCTTAAAAAGTATTTTTATGTAAATATTCTGACTAGTAGTTTCAAATTTTTTTTGAGGAAAACTGTTTTTCTTTATTTTACCAAAAAATAAGTCCTACTCTATAAAGCTAGATAATTCAATGTTTTTTTTTGTATTATCTAGCTAATTCGACACCTGTCGTTCTTATTTTAAAGCTTATTATACAAAAAGCTAATTCATTTAATACAAAATTACCGACATTGTTAGTTGATTTTTTTTCCGTTTCACAATTTATTGTTAAAATACTGTACGTGGTTTTTATAGTGCTTATGCATTATTTCGAGCCTTTAAAACAAATGATGGATATATCAAATATTTAAATTTTCAGGCACTGAAATTGGATACTATAGTCAAGGGAGATGCTCCAACTAGCCTGGCTACTACCAGTTTATTTAAAAGAGAAGTTAGTAATGAATTTCTCTGTAATAATAGATTAATATTGACGATATAATTATAAGGTTCAGGATATATATGTGTGTGTGTATATATTAAGTATTCAGAAAACCGGATTTTACATACATCTACTAAAACGTAAATACGCCTAATTAAAGTATTCAACTGGCAGAAATTTATTTAATACAGAAATTATTTTGAACCCTAAATGGCATACATATGCTTTAGTATTCTTGACAAATCAGGGTACGAATATTTGAGACCCTAAAATCGAAAGAGATGGCCAGTTTTCCTTATTTTCATGCCAAAATTGCCAATATTCTATACGACAGATGTAGTTTCCTTATTCATTTTATGTAGTTAAATATATGGCATGATAGATGGCCAGTTTTCCTTATTTTCATGCCAAAATTGCCAATATTCTATACGAGAGATAGAGTTTCCTTATTCATTTTATGTAGTCAAATATATGCCATGATTACCATTATGTCCCTAACACTACGTATAGAAACTGATTCTGCTTTATGTACTTTTGGCTTTTAAATGTATTCATTACCGCGACAGTCACAAAACTGATATTGAATTCTTTATCCTTATCTCTCTTTACAGTTTTTCCTTCCATCTTTGCTTTTAAACGCATAGTTTTATAACAAGAACTTGGATGTATTATTCACTATCCAAATGTAAAAACGAAATATAACTTCAAGAAATATGAAACGTGAAAAGTAATGTTAGTAATGCGGTCTTAAAGAACAGAAAAAAAAAATGCCAGTGAAACCGATCAAATGATCAGTTTTACCATCTTGTACTTGTACATTTTCATAAAATTCTGCTGTAATCTGTTTTGCAATTTCTCTTGTGGTATTTTTTTTATCATCTCCCTCGATAGTCTGGTGAATTATTTAATCTCAAGGGACATTCCGTATTTTATAGATATATCACATCAGCATAAAAACAACATATTAGAAATGAAATTTGTAGTTGTTGTTGTTTTAATGTTACTATATTATATATATATATATATATATACTAACTTTTTGTACGTATGTTTTGTATTCACATTGTTTGTGCATCAAAATAGATTGGTTGTAATGGCAAAATCATCTGCAAACTGATTTGGTGTAAAATTTAAAGACTTTCTTATTGCGTTACATTGAAAACTTTATGATATACTTTCTTGAAAGTTTTAAGCATGACATATGAGATTTGAACATATTTTATATTTTTATTATATTAATCAACGTTGGTATGTAAGACCGTTTTTTCTTGAAGTTCTATTTACTTGTTTCAGTTAGCAATTTTAACATTAATTTAACTCTTCACTAAATTATTATAGCCATGGGAACCGCAATGCTTTTATCCAGACTTTCCTCATGACATCGTATGTGGAGATTCTTGGGGTAAGACATTTTAAAGTTTCACAGTTCTAGAGTCAGGTATTCCTCTAAAAACTATTTATCTTCTAATTGAAATGTTTCTTCATTGTTTTAGAATAAGAGCGTGATTTCTCTCAAATGATGTATCTACAGAAACTAACGTACATATGTAAAGTAAAAATCCACTTTATTTGTCTTAGAAATGTTTATGTTAATAGAACTGAACTCAGCAAGTTTTTATTGTTTAACTAAAATGAATCTTAAACGTTTTAGATTTAGCATTGATCACATATACATAGCATGCTAAATATAAGTTAAAATTGTTATAATTTTTGACGTGAGATTTTTTATTCAAGGATAAGCATGGACAAGATACCTTTCTGTTTTAACAGGCGTTAAATTCGTCCGATTTTTTTTAAATAAGGATGATTTTTATTTCCATATATTATATTAATAGTGCGTTTTTAATTTTATTTCTAGGTTTTGTAAACTAAACGTAAAAGACTCATAAACTTTTTAAACACAAACATTGAGAGATACTTTCCAATAATTACCTAACATACAGAACGATTCTAACATTGTCAAACAACGATTTATAGGCATAATGAAATGGTATATTTTGGAGGAACATACTACAGATCATTGATTCGTCTTCCTTAAGTATGATATATGTTTGTTTGTAATTATGCACAAAGCTACACAATGGGCTATCTGTGCTATGCCTGCCACGCGTATCGAAACCCGAATTCTAGCGTTGTAAGTCCGCAGACATACTGCTGTGCCACGGGGGGGGGGCAGTATGATATATAACTATAGACATAATGAAATGGTATATTTTGGGGGAGCAGTCTTGATCAGTCTTCCTTAAGTATGATCTATAACTAAGTATACAGGGTTTATATGCAAGTACAAAGACAAAAGACGCAAAGATTTAATGTTAAGAAATTATATATCTCGGGGCAGGATAATAGATAAAGACAAGGTCAAGGCTGGTCAAGTGTGTGAGCGAAGGCTATGTAAATAAATTCAGCCAAATTCGACTAATACTGCTAGGGCCATTATCTCGGTTTAGTGAAAGATTGCCGCTTTGACGATTTCCGTTGTTTCTAAGCAATCTATTTATTTATTTTAGTTTTGGCTTCGTTTCGTCCCAACGTATCTTGTTACCTGGTTCAAATTGATGACATGCTCAAAAAAGATATCTGAAACTCACATCTACGCACGTAATTTTTGTGTTCTTTGTGCCTTATTTCCAAGGAACTTGACGTTTGTCCCATATATATTTCTTCCCACACTTGTATGAGATACTATATGTGCCTTGCTTTTCTTCCTTCTTTCTTTCAGGTTAGGTAGTAAAGTGTTCATCTTATGTGAAGACTTAAATATAGTTTTATTCCAATGTTAAGTTATTAAATAGATTGGTCATTTGACTAGCAATTTATGGAACAGAAGGAAAATGAAACCACTTTATGTTGTTGATAGAGGAAAGGTTACAGTTAACATTTTTCACGGTTTCGAAGTTTAATTAAAGTTCTATCTATGAGGTTAGGGTTGAAACTTTTAGATATGGCTACATTCTTTAAGTAATTCAGTTTGGTTTGTACATAGTTATATAGGGCGGTTTACATATGTGAAGTAGGAGGATATTTTTTAGGACAGGTTTTGTTTGTTTATTTGTTTGAAATTTCGCGCAAAACTACACGAAAGCTATCTGCGCTAGCCGTCCGTAATTTAGCAATGAAAGACTAGAGGGAAGGCAACTAGTCATCACCACCCACTGCCAACTCTTGGGCTACTCTTTTACCAACGAATAGTGGGATTGACCGTCACATTATAACGCCTCTACGGTTGAAAGGAAGAGCACGTTTGGTGGGATGGGGTACGAACCCGCGACCCTCAGATTAAGAGTCAAGAGCCCTAACCACCTGGCCATGGCAAGACTTTAGGTCAGATAATGACTAGATATCATATGTGGAGGCATGGTAACGTCATATACTGGTGGTCACTTTATTGTTTTCTCTTTTTGACGTTAAGACCTACGTTAGATTCTACTTCACGAGTAAAATCTATGATCTTTGGTCTCAAGAAGATATCTTAGTGACCTTCGACATAAAATCTCTCTTTCATTTTATGCTTGTCGAACAGGCCTTACCCTGTTTAATAAAAAATTAAAATAGAACAAGATAATCGTGATACAAACCACCTATCAATCTAACAAAATATCGTATAAGAAACACTTACTTTATCTACGAAGGCCAGTTTAATATAAAAAAAAATGCGATCTCCCCTTTCCCGTCCTCTTAGTGACCTCTACCACATGTCTGTTCTAGAATAACTATTTGGGAATAAATTCACACACATCAAGAAAACTGAAGATACGTTGACGATATTTTTATTGTGTGGCGACATGGGAAAGATAACCTACTCAATTTTTAAATACCTTGAGTATAATCTAACAACTGTATTCCCTCTTTAGGTGTTAGCATAAAAAGAGAAAACAGTAAAGTGACCACCAACATATACAGAAAACCCTATACCGTCACCATGCCACCATACATAATATCTAATCACCACCTGTCACAAAAACTATCCTCCTACTCCACCTATGTGAAGCCTGCTATACAACTTTGTACCCGTAAAGAAGACTTCAAAGTGAATTGATAGATAAGAGCTTTTATTAAACTTCAAAACCGTAAAAAATATTATGTTAAGTCTAGCCTTCCCCTATCAACAACATAAGGTGTAACAAATTGGTTTCATTCTCTTCTACGCCATAAACTGTTAATGAAATTATCAGTCTATTTAAGAACTTAACATTGATGTAAAAACTATATTTACATCTTAGCATAAGATAAAACACCTTACTACCTAACATGAGAAACCTCTACTGAAGGAACAAAAGCAAGACATATATAGTATCTCATACAAATGTGGGAAGAAATATATAGGACAAACGTAAACTTCTTTGGAAATAAGGTCCAAAGAACACAAAATTACACGCGCAGAGGTGAGTTTCAAATATCCTTTTGAACATGTCATCAATTTGAATCAGGTCACAAGATACTTTGAGGCGTAATATTGTTTTCCCTACACCCACCCGAAACTAAAAAAAGAAAGAGACTGTTCAGAAGCAATAGAAATCATCAAAGAAGACGATCTTTCACTAAACCACGATAATGGACCTAGCAACATCATCTCAATTTGGCTGAGTTTATTCACTTAGCTTTCGCTCTGAAACTTAACCAGTCTTGACCTTATCTTTATATATATTCCTTTTGCTAGGGGACATCATTCCTTACCATTTTGCGTTTTTTGCCTTTGTATATAAATCATGTAGGCTTACCTTTAGAACTTACTTGAAAAAGACATGTAGTATGTTTCCACTTCACTATGCTTATAAATCATTATTTGTCAATTTACTATTGATAGACTTGTGTTTTTTGCTAACATTTCTTCGTAAATTTATACTATAGAAACACTAGTATAGAGTTTTACGGCTGAAATATTTGGAGGAGTAAAATTCCGTTTGTTATTAGTAACAAAAAAAAGAGGTCGTCATTCCATAGAAAGCATACTTTTTTGAAAACACTCTTCAATTATTTAGGAAAAATATGTACTATATACCGTTCATTGAAGAGCCGTCAATCCAGCAATGTATAAATAGCACGCCTCCTTCGCCAAAGTCGTATGAGATGATCATGATACACTGTTAAGAAATTTCTTATGTAATCATCTGTAAAACTAATCACAGTTATAACTAAAAGAAAAAAATGTGACCTTTAGGCGCTATCAAGTAATCGCGTTTCGTTTCTTCTATTGGGCCTCATTCTCCTAAATAACTAGGGAATAAAACATCAACTAAGAATACGAAACCGTATTTAACAGTCAAGTACTAATAAATAGAGTTTTCTCTCTCCATACAGGAGAAAATCGATTGATTCTAGCCGCTGAAGCTGGCGTGTTTCTTTTAGAAGGTAAGTAAATGTCACGAAAATGATAAATGGCGTATACTTCCATTAACCAGGTCTATTCATTTTTTGATTCTAGCCGCTGAAGCTGGCGTGTTTCTTTTAGAAGGTAAGTAAATGTCACGAAAATGATAAATGGCGTATACTTCCATTAACCAGGTCTATTCATTTTTTTCTGACAGACTTTTCCGCAACAATGAAGTTAAATATCCCTGTGTCTAATACTTTCATAGATATATTATTTTCTTTGGAATTCCCGGCTATTTTATTGTGAAGCAATGTTTTTTTCAAAATTAAAAAAAAATGTTTGAATTGTTTTTCCAATATAGAAAAGCAATATCGTAATTTTAACCATTTAATAACTACCTGTTTTTTACTTACTATTGTTGTTAATGGTCCTTAGAAGGAACGGCTCACCGACAAATCTTTGACAAAACCATACAAGCCAAACAGCTGAATGTAGTGGAAGCTCATGGAATCCTTTTGTTTAGAGCTGACAAAGGTAGGTGTCGCTGGAGTGTTCCTTCTGCTACTTCTGAATCATAGTTATAAGCAAAGAAATGTTTTGGCAATGTATTTTTAATTACGCAAGAATACATCGAGCAATTGAGAAGGAACACTCCAGCGACATTTGCCTTTGTTGGCTAGAAACAAAAGAATTTCATGAGTTTCTACCAGATTCAGCTGTTGAAACATGTCGAGCAATTCGTTATTTATTTAGTCTGAAACTTTTCTTTTTTGAGTAACACTAATACGTTAAGAATGTTGTTAGTTTTAGGATTAGAAACTCAATCCTTACAAGTGCTTGAATTCTAAGTTAATTAGTTTTCACTTCTAGACTGTGCATTTAAAGAAGAAATGTTCACAATGCTCGTATCTGCGTATCTTTGTTACAAATCGTGCAAATAAAAATTTACAAAATCAGTTATTATGGCTTATAATACATAGAATGACGAAATAAGTATGATCACATCAAATAGAGAATCAGTGTCGTCCCATCAGGGGGATGGGAGGGATAAAACGGTAAATTTACGAACTTATAACGCTAAAATCGGGGGTTCGATTCTATAGAGTACAGGTAGTTCAATGTATAGCTTTGCACTCAGAAAAAAACAGCAGGATCAATGCTAACTTATCACAAAACATCTCGCTTCAGATTGCCTTGGCAGGGATCGGACGTAAAATATCAGGGGTTTATCAGAATTTGATGAAACTTATATAGGACGTAACATACGATGAGATATGACAATTACATTTTACAGTTTTTATATCGGACAAAAATGAATCGAGTTATAATTGGCCACATCATCAGCATAAACCCCGAAATTAATGATACTACCTCTTGTGTAACCGACGGGTCAGCTACGTGAGCCTTGACAGTACCTCTTGTTGTGTAACCGACGGGTCAACTACGTGAGCCTTGACAGTACTTCTTGTTGTGTAACCGACGGGTCAGCTACGTGAACCTTGACAGTACCTTTTGTTGTGTAATCGACGGGTCAACTACGTGAGCCTTGACAGTACCTCTTGTTGTGTAACCGACGGATCAGCTACGTGAGCCTTCTTCTTCTTTGTCCTTCGTTGCATCTGTGTTTTAGTACCAGAACCTAATAAAGCTTCAGCAGATAACTCCAAGCCTCGCTGACCGTGACTGAAACATTGCTATGTCATTATCAATCACCAAGATGTTCAACTTGCAACGTGTGCAGTCATATGGATGTCATCTCGATGGACTTGTTGACAGCCTTTGTCGAGGTACATTCATCTATCAAGCCCAAAGATGTTGTGGCGGCACTCAGAAATAGGTTTGGTGATGACTAGGACAGTATTGATAATAATAATAGCCTTTCACCAGATCAGAAGATCAAGAACAAGGTCTCCAACCTCAAACAGACAATGAGCAAAGGTCACGTAATTTGATTTGATAGTGAAAAAAAGAGATGATAAATTCGTGTGCATGACTGTCGTTGCTAAGAAAGTGTGGCCACTCCGAAATCCCGTATCTCTTTGACTGTTTTATAACTCCAGATTGATGCATATTTGGAAACATATACTTAATATATATTTAATATACTTAAAAATTGTATTACCCATCACATTGTTCTTTCTGTACCTCTAATAAATTGATTTATCGAACAAGGTATGATCTAAGTGTTTGGTTGAATAACAGTGGCAAAGCTTTTACTGGATAATTAATGTGCCACCTTATCCCTTAAATATTCAAATAGTATTTGATCACGATCTTGGACAATTTTGAAATTTGAAGTGATGCTAAGTGTCATGAGAAACAGTAATTCCGCTAGTGTAAAGGCTGTATACCAAAGTTAAGTACATATATGTTTTCTTATGGAAGAACTTTAGTCAGATAAAAGTCATGTAAAGAGGAGGGGCCAAAAAAAATACTAAGAATCATGTATAAGCGTTAATATTTAAAAAAATAAATGTCCTTGAATAACATTATTATTTTGAACATTTTTTTGGGGGTATTGCACTTCATCTGGCTTGAAAAAATAAAAAAATGTTCTAAATGAGACATATGACTGCATCTTTATAAAACTTAATCATCAAATGTAAAATATAGTAGTTCTCAATAACTTACATAGCATTAACATCTTGGAATAATGGTACTTCTCATTTTTGGTAGCCATTTTGTTTGAGTGCAGGGTGAATTTCAAACTTTGCCCTAAAATTTAATAGACATAAAAACTGGATTCAGTACCACAAAAATAATGGAGAAAACAATATTTGAAAAGTCTTATCATAACAGTAGTATACAAAGTTAGCTCTCGTCGTGTTTTTTGGCGGCCATTTTGTTTTCTACCTGTTATAATCTTCACAGTTGCAGCTTGGCCGACAGGGAAAAGGAATTTAGTTCACATCATTTAGAAAAAAAAAAACATCTACCAACATTTACTCAAAAAATGCCCGACAATGTTAAGTTTTTTTGAAAATCGGACTACTCTATAACACAAATTATAGCAGCTTTAAAAATCTCCATCAAAGACCAGCAGTTCTATATAGCTCCTTCGCTTTTCACGAATAACTACGGTATAACAAGTGCCATAGAATTCACTATACGACACTGCTTAGAACATGTGTGCTTTTAAAGTCTAATATATGGTGGAGTTTTTAAATTTTATATACAATATATACGAAATTGAGTAAACTTTTATTTCACTTATTACAAAAAATTACATAGATATATAGATCTGAGCGTAAATTATATGCGACTCTGAAAATAGTCTAAACTAGCTGCATGCCCTCAAATACTTTATGAAAGAAATTGCTTCTTAACTTCTAGCTTGCCCTAAAGAATCTTAGATTTTTCTTTTCGATGATCTTTATGTTAGTAGAGTTTTAAAAGCTCGAAGTAACTGTTCACTTTATATTTATTTCTTAGAACAAACTTACATGTTCCTAGTTATTACCTAAAATACCTCATAATTTGGTATGATTAAAATAGGTTTTTATTAACATTACCTTACGATGAGATGCTTATTAGATTTAATAATCAAACTGTGAAGTCCAACAATAATACAATAAAACTTGTCCTAGACTAACTTATCAAAATCAACAGTTAGTTGAGAGCCTTCAACATTGAGATACCTTAATCTGTAAACGTAAAATGTCAAGCAATTTTAACAATTCCATCGCTCTTCTTGCAATAATGACAATAGAATGTACCATAGCATTATACAATACTATTTAAAACAAATGTGTTTTTGAGTCTAACATTTGTAAAGAATGGTCTGATTCTTTCTTCTTCTTCTTTTTTTCTCGCTTTAAACTGACGTTTAAAAGAAATTATTTGTATATTTGCTGCTTGAATATTAAGAAAACACCATAAAAGCATTTTACCTTTGGATTATGTCCAGACTACAGTTTTTCTGGTTGTGGGTCTTGTAAGATGGAGGGATTCCTTGCAGAGCTATTCTCAACCAAGTTGAATTCACTTAGCATTTATCAGCACTGGAGATTATAGTGTAGGTATGAGATGGAAGGCTATCTTGTATCTAGTTTATAAACAAAATACCCCCTGCAGTATACATATTAGTTTATTATGTCAAATGAAACATGAAACTTTTGTTTTTCATTACATGCACTTCCCACAATTATTATATAAAGTACTTTCAAGAGAAACTTTTCTTCCTCTCTCTTATTTCACAAATTATGTTTATGTTTCATGTTTTCATTGTACATAGGTAGAGATAGCAGAATCCATGTGTTTAGGCTCTCAGATTTCGAAAACCAACCCAAAGAAAATGGTGTTCGAAATAAAACAGACATCCGGGATCAAAAGCTCGAAAAAACGAAAGGTATTTACATTAAGAAATTAACTTTTGCTAAAGAATATTAGATATAACATTACTGTTCGAGTGACTTTCTGTTATTTAATATATCTTTACATTTACGTATTTTATCAACCATAGTTCAGTCGTGAAATATGAGGTATTTTGTTAGCCATAGTTCGGTCGTAAAGTATGAGGTTTAATGTTTTTAAATATAATTTCATATGGTGTATTTGCATAAGACAGCAGTTAATAATACGTAGTTATCTAAATTTTGAACTATTTGACAAGCATATTGAGCACTAAACTTATGAAATAAACCCTCTTTCCAAAATATTTCAATTAATTTCAGTCATGACGAAGAACAAATTTTACTCAATATAATTTGTTAGTCATTTACAAGTTGTCAGTAAATTTGATTTTGCAGTAGGAGTTTTTATTCACATTTCTTTTGATTAGTCCGTTACGAATTTTAAACAATAATAAAAACAAGAATTTGAAGTTAATTTTTTCTACTGAAAGTAACTTCTCATGAAGCCTGTCCGTTGACAACAGAAGTCACCAGTTAGGCTTAACAGATGCACCAGCTAAAATATCAATAACCTCATATTAAGGATTAAAGCGCTTCTCTCGTTCAAACGATTTACACCATAACCCAGATTAAACTAGATTTATAGATAGACTGGGCGTCGTTTAGTGGTTATCGTACCTGGACTGTTAGTACAAGGGTTCATGGCTCGCGTCTTATTGCCACAAAAACTCGGTCTGCACTTTGGGACAGTAGGGGCGCTATAACTATCTATATATATTTAAGCTGTAGTCATCCCTCGTTGGACGTAGCTCTCCGTCAGACCAGTCCAGTATTTCCTATTCTTACCATACCGTGTCCATCTGATTCCTGCTTCCGCCACTAAATCGTCCCTCTATCTTCTCTTTTGCCTTCCCTTAGATCTTTTCCCTGTCCTAGGTTGCCATTCCATTGTTTTTAATGTCCACCTATTATCGGAATATCTTGCTACATACCCAGCCCATTTCCACTTCGTTCTTAGAATGAAGCTTACTGCATCTATTATATTTGTTGTTTTTCTTATTCTGTCATTTCTCCATCTGCCTTGTAGTGTTATATATCTTTGTGTAGTTTCTATCTTTTTCCTTATCTATTTCGTTAGTGCCCATGTTTGACTGCCATATGTTAAGGTTGGTAGTACACACTGATCCATGAATTTTTTCTTCAAAGTAATGGGGATATCTTGATCCTCTAGAATTTCTTTATACATTCCAAAACATCGCCATGTTGTCTGTATTCTTACCATAATTTCTTTTCTTGTTGTGTTTTTCATTTTGAGGTTTTATCCCAAATATTAGTACTCTGACACTTTCTCTATTTCTTCATTCTCAATTTTGATGGCATCTGTGTCATGATAGTTGGTCATACATTTCTTTTTTCCCTTATGTATTTTTAATCCTGCTTTCTTGCTACTGGCGTTCAAACTGTTTAATAGGGCTTCCATTTTTTTGTTGAATTGGCGCTATAACAGTGACAGACAAATCCCACTATTCTATCAGATGAGGTTAGCTATAAAGTTTAGCAATGGATACTGTTGACTGGTTCATTAACTTTAATCTATCACCTCAAAACTAGGGAAATAGGGACAGATATGTATAGATAAACTTCGTTATGTAGCTTTGCGCGAAAATTGTGAAACAAACAAACCTACTCTGTAAAAAGCACATCCAGAATTTTACTATCCCTTATTAAAACAAAAATATATTAACTAATAACACAATCATCAATATCTATTGGTGTATATGTTTTTAAGTAGAGGAAATGAATATTAAAGTAAAAGCTGAAGGCACCATTTCTTTTATGGTAAAAGTTAATTCTGTATGTTGTAGAATTAGATTTCATCGAAGTATTACATTTTCAATAATAGAACATAAATGTTGTTTTGAAACTAATTTTTACTTAGATTTATTTATCAGTAGTCGTTCTTCCAGTTATAGCGTTTCTCACTCATTTCACAGGTTGCCATTTATATGCCATCAGCCGTCCTGGTGACAGTCACCTTCGTATGGTTGTGGCGGTTGGACGCCGGTTACTGGTGCTACAGTGGCGCCACTCCGCGGCGTGGACGGCATGGTGTGCTTCTTCAGATACTGACACTGTAGATGGATTCCACTTTATTAGGGTAAAACAACATTTATTTATTTGTTTGTTTTTTATTCATAAGATGATAGACATTAGTAAAATTAAAATATAGTCAAACATAAATCAAAAATTAATGGCATACACATGAAAAACAAAACAAAAAAAAACTAGTACACAAGTCATTTAGATATTGCCCCCCAGTGGCACAGCGGTATGTCTGCGGACTTACAACGCTAGAATCCGGGTTTCGATACCCGTGGTGGGCAGAGCACAGATAGCCCATTGTGTAACTTTGTGCTTAATTACAAACAAACAAACATTTAGATATTAAATTGCTATAAAAATTGGTATCCAAAATGAATATATGAATATGTTGCCTATTGCTTCTGTATGTACAGCCTCATCAATGAATATGTTGCCTATTGCTTCTGTATGTACAGCCTTATCAATCGCGACAAGAAGAGATGTTTACTAATTCTGTCATAGGAACTGTAGTCATTGCATTATATATATATATAGGTAGTGAAGACTTTCTTGCATCGTCATAAATCATACAGTTTTCACACGACAATAGTTAGTTTCTTTTATGAAAACAGCGCTGTTTCTTGGAAGAAACGTGAAGTTTAAATCTATGATATGAAACTTGTAACTTCTACTTTTAATTAAACTCCGCGGAATATTTACTGTGTACGTAAAATACATAAAAAATCATCATATGGTGAGTTACAATAAAAATTATATTTAATTAAACAAGCTTTTTGATTCTAGTTATACATAAAACCAATTACTATTTTTCTTTACTTTAGTATGTGGCGTTTCCATTAGTTCACAAACCTGATGGTGCATTTTAGTAACAATATCCAATGATCTGCTTGATTAACAAAACGCCCACATGTCATGTTGGTATATTGAAACTTGAAATAATTCAGTTTACTCTGATGTTTGAACTGTCTATTAAACTCTAACAAGAGATATTTAGCAAATACAACACAATTTAATGTATTTGTTAATGCCAAGAACTTGAACTAATATACGTATAGGAAAATATTTTGTTCCGGTGTTATTCTTTCGAAAAGTAATGTTTTTCTTAACAACGGTATATAGACACTGTACTTAATTGTATACAAAATTTACGCGCATTTGTATAACACTCTGAGCTGAGTTGAAAAGTGTTTTCGTGTTTTTAATCTTCTTAACATAATTTATCATTTCTTCCTGAGTTATTTCACTTCTGAAACTCTAACGTACAATAAGTAGAATATATATGTATAGTTAATATATGTAAATTCCAGACGTCTGTCTTATTTTGAATTGAAGGATCTCGGTAATTGAAAAAAATATGTTAGATTAAACTATTTCAGAACACTTTAGGGAGAGAGGCAAATTTCATCTAAAGAAAGCATTCGGCGCATTTAAATTCGAGGCTTTTGTAAGTTCACAAAGATCGTATTCCGTCCTATCCAATTAACTGTAAACCAGAAACTTTAAGGCTGTGAGAAAACGTTGAAAATGAAAGTGACTCTTGCAGCAAGTCGTGAGGTATTTCATTAAGGTGTAGTATGTTAAATAATACTATCCCCTTGAACAACAATAAGTGTTTTACTGGTGAATCTAGCACTCTAGTTCAATGCGAAAGTAAGGATTTGAAGCTAATTTGTCACAATTACAGTATTTTTTTATTATGGACCTAAAAGATAGATCATTTCATTGCAGGGCTATTTTGAGGCCAGTACGGTTAGGGATGTCTACAGAAATTACGTCAAAAAGAAATTGTTTCAAGGAAAAACAGAGCGTAAAACATAGCAATGAAGCAAAATTGGCATGCTACTTCAGTTTTATAAAGATTTGTTTTTGGTAAATGCTACAATATACTTTTGTTTTTTAGTAGTGCGTTGACATGTTGAATATCATGAATCACAATAGTGGTTCATAATAGGGATCGCAAATAATTTCACAAAACCCTTATAAAACGTTCAGGCAAAAAGAACCTTAAACAGTAAGGATTCGTTCAAACAACACTTTAAAATCTTTACTGTTGATTGCTAAGGGAGCCAATCCCTATATTATGTATGAAGTGAAGGAGAAAAACAAAATCAATAAACACAATATTAAATTTTAAAATACCTTGAACTGTCCACTGTTCTTTCGTAGACACACAGTTTTACTGTCAATGATACAATATGATAAATCATAGACATGGTTTTGTTTTTTTACGCATAAAAAGCACACTGATAAATTACTTTAGTAAATCTGCTTTTCGAATGTTTAAAACCCTAAATAATTTAAGATTAACACACCAAATATATATATATCATTCTTTTAATATCTTAATACATACTTATGTTTATAGGATAATTATAATTATTTTACACGGCACTTATTTGTGCCAGTATAAAATGAAAAATGTAAATAAGTGAGAAATAGGACTAGTTTAATTCAAGTGAAAACCCTTGCGCTAGTTGTGAAATCACACAAAAACCACATATATTAAATTGGTGTTTCTATAGGTTATGTGAGGTAAAACTAATTATTCAGATCATATCTTAACAAGGACACCCGATGAAGGTTGCTTAGCGTTGATCACTAAATTATTTTGTCCTTACAATGGTTTTAACAAGTTCTGTGTATTTTGAGATTTTTAACTAGTAATCATAGCTTGCCTTCTGAATACATTAAAGTCTGGGTAAACCAAAATAACATCATGTATGATATCCGACGGACTGGCAGCTGGGAGATGGGTTAATTTGGGCGAAATTCAGATCTCTAAAACCTATTTATAATTACATCGTTGTATATTGCATGATTCGACGTAATACTAACGTCACGTGTTTATATGATATATTTCTTCGATATATAACATTCATATAAAGTATACACATAAATTGCGTACGTCTATCAGACATATATATATATATATATATATGGACAGTGGAGATTTCAAACTTACATTTTGCTCATTTCGCCTTCATTATGTTTTTATGTATTATTCATTACATTTCGCACGTATTTTTAAAGTTGTTTGTCATTTTTATCTTCTCAACTCAGTATTCCAGATGTTCAGACTACAGAAGTCTAATGTTGTATACCAAACTTTCCGATGTGAACATGTCAGCTAAAGACATGAGCCAGATAATTCAGTCATGTGACTTAAAGAACACTTTTGCATGACTTTTCAACACCGGCTTTTTTTCAATCCACAATATTATTCATTGCTCGGATTCCAATCAATATTTGGCCTGACCTAGTTTAAAATGCTTATCGAAATCTAGTTATCAAAACAAATTTACCTCATTTTGTTCTTAAATTTTATGCTATTCTTGTGAATATCACCGATGAATAATGCAGGCTTTAGATCTGACAATCAAACAGCAACAACAGTGAAGAATCAAACAACAACAATTGTATTGTAAAAGCTCAAACAGCAAAAATAGTGAAGAATCAGACACCAAAAACAGTGATTTTGTTTTAATCAGAACTTTCATTCAAACAAACTTTATATGTTGTGTTATGTATTTTATGTGTTAATAAAGGAGCCGAGCTCACCTTAATTTATGTTCAAATTGTGTTTATTTTAATTACAAACTAGTTCAAGAGCGTAAGAAATAGAACAAATTCTCCTTTGCGTAGACAGTTATTTAAAGATGAATTTACCATATTCACTCAGTTCACTACGTCAAACCGTTCTGACTTGACTTCAGCCAAGACCTGGTAAAAAGGCTCAACTTGGAGAGTAAATTTTCTAGGAATATAAATACTCTTGGTAATCTCCAAACCGAACATTGAAATCAAAGAAATATCCCTCAATATATACAAAACCAACACTCTAAAGACGGTTTAGAATCAAAATGGGTTGTAAAAACAAAGTGATATCGTTTTGTTCTCTCAAAAAAACCAAGTTTCCTCTTGAAATCTCCGTAGAAACAAAACATGGAACAACAATCCTAACAAGTGGAAGAAACTCGAAAAAATAAACTTACTACTTCAAAGTACAATTCAAATTTCCTACGCAAAAAAAAACATTAAATTGTTTTTAGCACAGAACACCAGGTTTCCATATGTTTTCTTTCTCTCTCTTGGAGTTGTGCACCTCCAAATAGGCTAAATAAATCTAATAAGAAGGCGGCTTCCTTTATAGGACTTTCCTATAAGTGTTCCTTTTTTTTTCTTTCCTCCCTCGTTTTCTTTCTTGTTTGGGCCATTTCTTACCAGTTTTGTTTCCTTTCTACGCATATTCTTCCAACCAGTTTATTTCCTCATTTGTATGGTTTTTCCTTTCTCCTTCAGATGGTTCCTTGCTCTCAGCACGCTATTTATTTAGTAAGTTTGCTTCGTATTTGCTGTTTACTTAATAAGCCTACTTCATGTTTGTTGTATATTTAGTAAGTCTGCTTCGTGTTTGCTGTTTACTTGGTTAGCCTACTTCATGTTTGCTGTTTATTTAGTAAGCTTGCTTCGTGTTTGCTGTTTAGTTAGTTAGCCTACTTCATGTTTGCTGTTTATTTAGTAAACCTGCTTCGTGTTTGTTATTTATTTAGTTAGCCTACTTTTCATTTTCTCATATACTACTTGAACTAGTTCGTGGCTTTATTAGTATTCGACTTCAGTATCATTGTTTGTTGGTTGAATAAAGTTTGGTGCTTTTAACTTCATGGAATTTTGTCCCTAAACACTATCGCAATTTTGACTTTGATTTTGAAGGCAATACAAAAATTTCAACAATTTCTCTTTCACCAACAATGATCGATCTGACACTCAACTAAAATAAATCATTTTTAAATCTAAACCAGTGTATGCACAGCATCTCTCTCTCCCTCTTTGAATACAAGTTTTACTGACTGACTGTGAATGTTCACACTTAACCAACACAGACAAGAGCTTTTAAATGAGTAAAACAGTTTAACTTCAAACTTAGACACAAAGCATGTTAACTACCAGCTGACAATAATAAATAATATGAGCATATAGAATAACAATCCTACCAACAAACTTAAAAACTGCTAAATTTAAATAATCATTACAGAAACATCATTTAGTTTTCAATCTTCTCTGGTTTCTTCTTAATTAAAAGACAAGCTTGTTACCTAGCCTACCACAATACTAACTCATATAATAAAAGCTTCTACCTTATTAAAAGGGTTACTGTTCCTTATCTTATCTATGTATTAACATATAATTACGATAATTACATTAAGTGTAATTTTAATTCATGATCGATAACAATAAATATTAATTATATCATTATTGCCCTATCAAATATTTAAAGTAAAAAAACAATAGCTATGAATGTTAATAAAATGAACAGAGGCCCCAGTCTCTTACTTCCTACGTCTCCAAGTACTGGGCTTCATATTTATGTCTAGTATTTTATACAGCTTCTCAGCTGAATAATTAAGAAGAATAAGGTAGTATCATTAATGCTATAAACTCTTCAAATCCTTTATAACTATCGGTTCACTCTGGTGAGTAAAATATAATCAAATATCATACATATACTTGTGAGCACTTTGTTATTTTTTATTTTGATGTCTCCATATTATAGATGTTCGTTTGGTCCATGTGTTCTAGTTTCTAGTTTTTTACGTCTGTAATCTGTTTCTCTTTATCGCTATGTTACACGTATTATTTTCGTCTGTATGCTGATATAATGATAATTAGAGAGCTAGACCGGTTTGTTAGTATTTATAACCTGAAAATGCCCTAGGCCACGCCCAACCACAATATGTGTTCTAAACTTAAAACATTAATATTACTTCCTCCTACATGTTTCTATATAACTACAGCAAAACTATATATAAAACTAGGCTAGTGAGAAATAATTCAATCAAATTAATAGTTACGGTATTATCGCCAGTAGAAGGAAATATACCACAATTTTGCTGCATAAAAAAATCTCTACTGCACTTTAAGTAGATGTTATTAAACTTGAACCCTCCCCTGAATTGGCATAACATTTTTCAAATAATTGCTCTCTCTTCTAAGCTATGTTTAATATGTTGAAACTTTTATTATATAATGTTTGGATTGGCTTTTACATACCACAAATAACTATATGAGTATAGGTTAATTACATTTGTTACTGATAAGAAATGGAATTTAACCTAAAATGGATTTAACTTGGTGATACAAGGAACATTCACAAATAGTCTCGTTTCTTTTCCGCCCCTATTCACAATTCTGGTTTTTGAATTTACTCTTACTTTGGCATTTAAGTGATAAAAGAGTCACGTACGGGTTTATATTTTCCGCATTTTGAGCGGTTATTTTTCCATAGAATGTATTTGAAATGTGATCGATCAATAAAAATATGATATTAATTTCAAAACGATTTCTTAAATAATATAGGAACTTCCTGTGGCTGAGCCAGCTCAGCTGATCACCCTGGTGGACAGTCCGGTAAAAGGCGGAGACAACCAAATTTGTGTGGCTTACAAACACCAGTTTGACTTGATTAACGAAAAAAACGGCGATACAGTAAGGCTTCACTGTGTGGAAGGAAACAAGGTGTGTGAATTTTGCTTTCTGAGATATGATTAGATGGATGTATATAATATATTCTTATGCATAGAACTTTGAGTAATAGAAAGATTTCCAAAATCTGTAACAATTAATCTAATATTTTAAAGACTAATTAATTAACTTGGTTATAGCTATTAGTAACAAAATAGAACCAACCTTGTTGTAATTATACATATTTTTCAAAGACATATGTTCCTTTATTGAAGAGTAGTACTTGAGGTGCCAGTAGTACTGTGTTTCTCTATAATTTACTCTACATTCTTGTAAAGGTATAGCAGTGTTAATGTTCAACTTAAATGATAATTCCCGATGGCTCAGCGGTAAGTCTGATATCTTATAACACTAAAAACTGGGCTTCGATACTAGTGGTGGGCACAAAACAGATAGCCCACTATGAAGCTTTTATGCTTAATAAACAAAACAAAGCAAAGTACTTCAGGTCTAGTACAATCAAAAAATATCTCGGATTTCGTAAATATGTAATTAGAACAGGAACACCGAAGTTTACTTTTCAAATAAAGCAAATAACAAACAGTAATTCTTCTCACATAATGGAGAAATATTACAAATTCTTTCACGAGATGAATGTGGAGAAACAAAGTAGCAAGTTAGAGAAGATGGTGCTCATGCAAAGTCATCTGGCATGTGAAAAAGATAAGTCTTAAAAGGAAAGAGGAAAATATATCTGTACAAAATATAAAATGTTTAGCTGGTACTGTTTACGTTTTTCTGGTTATTTTATTTCATTAAAATTACACAATGTGCTGCCCGTTCTTAATTCAAGGGAAAATTTTCATATTACGGCCGACAAAATCGATAACAGCAAAGGTACCCAACTGATGAACCAATGCAGTTTAATTTGTAGACATTTTTGTTTTTTTCACATTGCATACTCCTAAATAGATTAGTATATTAAACTACATACATTATTCATTGGGTGATAATGACTTCTTTGGGTAACTTGCTTTTATTATAAGTTATTGAAAATTAGTACTTCTGTTGAGAGCGTTAACATTAATAATATAAAGGTCGAGAGGAGAGAAACCTCGTGGTATAAAAATGGTGTGAAACATTTTATCTATACGCAACCATAAATTAATTTCTACAGAGATGTAGATTTACCTACCAGCTAGTGATTATTTTCAATGAATGTCTAACTTGGCTTTAGTTTATACTCTAATTGAAAGTGTCCCGTTGTAGTATGTTTTCCTACATGTCAAACCTGGCATGGCCAGGTGATTAGGGCGCTCGACTCGCAATCTGTGGGTCGCGGGTTCGAAACCCCATCCCACCAAACATGCTCGCCCCTTTCAGCCGTGGGGGCGTTATAATGTGACGGTCAATCCCACTATTCGTTGGTAAAAGAGTAGCCCAAGAGTTGGCGGTGGGTGGTGATGACTAGCTGCCTTCCTTCTAGTCTTTCACTGCTGGAGTAGAGACGGCTATCGCAGATAGCCCTCGTGTATCTTTGCGCGACATTCAAACCAAACTAATCCTACATATTTCCATTTGGAAAACAAAAAAGAATAGTCATTGAAAAGTTTGACAACAAAAATAAAATTTTAATTATAATGTCAACAAAGATAAAAAGTGGTATTCTATTGTGTACAAGGGTGAAAGAAGCACAGAGATATTTTTGTAGCAAGAAATCGCTAATTTATTGTGACTAGTTTCAGTTTGTTAATTAATAATTTTGATTCTACAATTCAAATCAAACTTAGATATGGAAAGATAAACAGAGATATAGATCATTAGACCACTACTACTACTATTTCTATACTTTATAAAACTTGTAACAAATGGTGCCATTAACAAAAAGATGTTCTCCTTTCGTCCATCAGGTTCATCTTGTCTCAGCCGTCGATATCTATGAAGACGAAGAAGCTGAATTGCTGCTGTCTTACAACCGTACGTTAAAAAAATTAGTTTACATTAGTACAATCTCTTGGATTGCGAGTAATATTCGAGTAAAAATGGCAGTATTAATTTTAAAGACGCGTATAACATCTATTTATAAAATTTTCAATGCTGGGTGCCATTTTTAAAATATAATTGATAATTTTGTACTTATTTAAACATATATATATATATTTATAAATATTTACTACAATGAATATATATATATATATTACAAACCCTCCAGTGGTTCAGCGAGTTTCGATATCCGTGGTGGGTACAGCACATATAGCCCATTGTGTAACTTTGTGTTTAACAACAAACAAACAGATATATTACAAACAATGTGTGAAAGAATTAATTAATTTACAAATAGTTTAGTAGAATACACTCACATTAATACAAAGTTCTAGCAGTAGCTTAGCTGCCCTAATTTAATTTAGGCGTGTTCCTGTTTATTATCAAAGTCTCTTTAGTTTTCAGTTTTCTTTCTTTACTGCCTCTCTCAACGATCTTGAACTGTTCTTTAGTCACCACGTAATCACATATTGTAAGTGCATGCCCTATAACACTAGACACTTCTTTGTTTCTAGTTCTAGCACTCGAATGCTCTTTCATACTCTCGTAGAAGCATTTAACCGTTGATCCGTCGTAACAGTTTCCACACTTGGATCACTTACATTGGTAGATTACACAAATGCTGTTGAACACAGCGATCTCTAAAAACAATATTTTCTTGTATTCTTCTTGAGGGCTTAAAAATACGTACTTTGTGGGTAAACTTTCTTTATTAAAGTGTTCAGCTGTTTCTTAAATGTTTTTATCAATGTAAACAAGTAAAAGGTAAAGCCATAAGAACTTCATTCATCAATTTTTTGTAGACCTCTTCCAAAATTACACCCGAAAATGAATTTTTCATTCGAATTTTTTGTTATCTTGGCTACTTCTTGCTTAAACAATTATGAATTATTAAATTATGGGTCTTTTAGATTAAACTTTTCTTCAAATTTAAATGGGATAAAACTATTTTAATTTAGATAAATCCAAACATCAAAATGATTCATCTATCTATTTTCAACAACAGTATCCTTAAAATTTACCATCTTTTTTTTTTCTTGTGTTTCCATAATAAACTTTATATTTGGATGTTTAATACTTAGGTTTTCTAAAAAAAAATCCATATGCTTCGATTTCTTCAAAATTATAAAAGTGTCATCCACATACTTATTTTAAAAAAGGGGCTTAGAACAAACTGGCATTACTTAATCCATTTCTTCTGAAAATGGCTCATAAAGATGTTGGCCATGACTGTAGTGAAACTCGAATCCATGCTCACTTCCATCTTTCTGTTCAAATATTTGATTATTGAAAATGAAATGCGATTCTCTCGTTGTTGTTTCCATCTGCTTTCTAAAAACATATTTTTCATAAACTAAATCAATACAAATATTAACCGTTTCGTGTAAAGGAATGTTCGTGATTCGACATCAAACCCTTCAAGAAATACCTCATTATCAAATTTCGTATTTCTCGTATTCATTGAAAATTCAAACTATCTGCTGAAGTAAATTCATTCTTAGCAACTTCTTTGACATAATAATCTCATAGGCCATTTTTTTATGAATTTGCGGAAGTCCATATAGGATTCACGTATGAGAACCTGTAGATCTAGTTTCTTGGGAGGTTTATTCGATGATTATATTATTTTTTATGTTAAGGAAGGACCTAATAATTCTACTCTCTCTCTTATTCTAGTGGGGTCTTTCCTAGTTGGTATAAATGTGTTTTCGTCATCCAAGTTGTCATAAGTTTGTTTTGTTATGGTAATCTAACAATCTTTTTTTCTTTATCTGGATTGGTAATTACTAACTTTTTATTATTACTTAAACCTTTTAACACTTCAACTTCTTTACTACATAAATTACACTGTTTTGAGTTAAAACTTACAGGCATGTAAGCCTGATAATCCAATGATGCTATCATGAGTTCTAACATTATCAAACTTAATCTCAGATTTGGCATAAACTTCACAAGTTTCAGAAGTTCTAAGAACATTCACAAAAGTTTCAAAAGGTAATAAAAGTTCACGAAAAATAAGTTTTTTTTACGAATGGAGCAAATCTCATCCAAATATCTTTTCTCGAAATCAGTAATGTATAGTCAGATAAATTATGGATTAATTCGTCAGGATTATTAACAAAGATATCTCTTAACTGGGTTCTCTTTTTAAAAAAAACTAATTCTTTTAACCGCGTTAGTTTAGTTTTGGTTAATTTATTATTGCTGTTTATAATAGTCACTTTACATAAATAAAAACCAAACTTGCAGATCTTTTTCAACATTGTTTATATTTATACAAGTGACTTAAAAAAAAGTTAAAGACTTTCGCTCGAATTTAATTTCAACTAAGAATTGACTTTTAATTTTTCTATACCATCATAAATGTTTATATCTGAAATTAGCAATTTCAAAATGCGAAATTTTCACTTATTCAAAACGTTCGGATCTAGTTTATCTTTCTGTAACTTATGGTAAGTCCAAGTCCACTACAAACAATTATCCACTTATAATATAAAAAAATCAGTTTAGAACGATTTTTTGAGAGAAAATAAAAGAACCATTGCTAATTATTAGAAACACAAAACTTTTCAAATATCTTTCATCATGATTTTATTTTACCAATTGCACACCGTTATTGGTACCCTAGTTTTATTTCTCTTTTGTTATGTGTGAAACTATTTATTTTTGGATGTAAAATTACTTATGTTTTTAAACAATCATTAAAAGTAATATGTTTTTTTCGGGTCAATACTTGCCTGAGAATAATTCAAAAATAAGTTTTGAGTTAGTTCTTTGTAGTCCTTTGCATGTTAGAAGAAGGACAATGTTAGACTTATTGAAATGTCTTCAATGATGAACTTAGATGCTCGTAATGGAAAACGTCTGTCATATTCAGTAGCATTAATAAATTGCAAAACAAAACAGATCGCCTTGCATGTTCCTACTCAAATCTTAAGTTTGAGCTGCTCCCAGTTGCTTCTTCAACCAAACTGATGTGAATTTTGCGCACGTTTATACTTTATGTCAAAAGTAGGTTTAATGTTAGAGAAAAAGTTGTTGACAAATACGTTTATGTTTTTACTTCACTGATACCTCAAGATTTAAGTTATTTTAAATTACAGATATGACTTCTCTACTTTCAGCAATATATTCGCTACTAGATGCCGCTAATCTAAGAACAGTTTTGAAATGTAAAGCCCCTCTAGTGGTATAATATACTTTCGTGTTTTGGTTTTTTATTATTTTACACATGGATTCTACTCACGGAATTGCTAAATAAGCTTTTTCATGCAATCCTCAATAAGAAATAAGGCTCCTTATTTTTAAAATTATTAAGACTATCAACATTATAAATCTCTTAATATTGTTCCTAAAATTTTTAATGAACGTTTAAATCATAAACATGTCAAAAGGGACGCAAGAAATCTTAATATAGAGTCTGCTTAGGTCTTGATCAGTTAGGATTTTCTAAATGACATAAAACATTAAAAACAATTTACAAATATCATAATATCGTAGACGTTCTTAGATGAATTAATTCCATAAATCTGATTACCACTGCACTTGTGTAATAAATAAATGAATTATCGAAAATTTTAACACAAGCATATCTTATTTCGATCATAACTATTCATTAAAAGGTTAGTTAGTTCATTAAAACATAAGCTAGCAGTGGGAAATTAAAAAGAAATTGAGTATCTTTACATGGAATCTTCTCTTCTGTAAAGTCCGTTGATATACTTCGTTTATTAATGTTACTAAATTTGGAAGTCCCACTAAAGCTCACATCAGATTAAATCTTAACAAATATATTTATTACTTTACCCATAAAACATTATAAAGTGTCATCTGGTGTGTGTTAACTGCATATGGTATATACATTAACCTATTTCTTTAAACTTAGATTGCTTCAATAGTAGTAGTAAGCGCAAAAAAAAGTTAGAGTTGGATACGTTGAATGGGATTAAGTCTCCTCAATTTATTATAAAGGTCAACTATTATTAAAATTAATATGGGATATAGACTACTTTTTAGAACAAATATATTAGAAAATACTCACCTAACTTGACTCATAAACAACCGTATGTTTGAGATTTTACAAATTTAATGACAAGGAATAAATCTTTCATTCAGTCATTGCGTTCTTTCTCTGTTCAATCATCAGAGCACTGCATCCTCCCAGCTCCAGGCTTTTAATGTTTTTCAGGCCTATTAATTTTAGTTTCGCCTGAATCTATTGACAGATTCAATGATCGCTGCCCAATAGCCGCGAGCATCTCCGTTTGATTTTAATAAAGTAAGCCTTGTAAACGTTATAAACCGCCAACAGGGGTGCTAACATCGTAATACAGATAAACTTTCTATTTGACTCGAAAAAAAATCTTTTAAATTATTTCCGCTCGGTATATGTCATAAAAGGTTAATCATGTAAATGCAGTAAAATTGATACATAAAAGGTTAATCATGTAAATGCAGTAAAATTGATATGCTTAAACTAATAGATGGTTAAAAAACAGCATATCGTATACGTAAACAAAAAGGCTCGTATCTAAAGTGTTTCATAAAAGTTTATGTAAAGAAGAATATGGTACTAACTCATCCTTCTTTGTAGCCTTGATGTAAAACGCGCGAATTAAATAACAATCACGTGAACTTTAGCCTCTGCGACGTTTCCACCTTAATTTTCGACATTTGTTGATTTCCTACGTCAGATGAATCGAGCATTTTTATACACTACAAGTAAATCAGTTAGTTATGTTTATTCTTTACTAATATTCTACTTTATACTGTCACAATAGTTCTAAGCGCTAAAATATAGCAATTATAAAATGTAGTTTTTAACTACAAATTATACGTTGTATGTCTTAACCCCAGAAACTTAATGGTTGGTTATTTATGTTTAGAGAATATAATCATAAAACAACTGAAAAACAAAATTCGGATAACATTGCATTCTAATAACTTTATATCATACCATTTTTATAGCGCACCAAAAAATCCAAACTTTTGGGAAAACAGAATAACTATTTTCCACAATTTTTGGAGATCAAAATAACAAATTTTACTCTACTTTTCACGGCCCAAAAATACTTTTTTGTAGACCGGAATCTAAACTGTTTTTCATACGTTTTGCTTTTCCTTTTACGCTTGTCCCCTCCCCCCCCCCCCACCAGTGGCACAGCGGTATGTCTACGGACTTACAAAGCTAGAAACCGGGTTTTGATACCCGTGGTGGGCAGAGTACAGACAGCCCATTGTGTAGCTTTGTGCTTAATTCCAAACAAAGCTACAGAATGGGCTATCTGAGGGCGTCTACGTTTTGGAAACAAACAGTCTCTAAATTCGGGAAATATGTTATTTGTTTACTAAGCACTCTACAATTCGGAGATTTTGTAAGACCAGTTTAACCTTATTTTTGCAACGATTTAAGAAAACTTTAAAGTTTTATGATTTTCCTGTTATTCAGAATGCTACATATTTTTTTTAGTCTGCTTTATCGTTCGTTAATGGGGAAATGTTCTATAATAACAGAATAGAAAATACTTCATTATTTGTATTCATTTAAAGGCATGGCCATCAGACAAATTGTTTGGTCAATTTTTGTAACCGGTAATTCTGCTCAGGTTAGTTCATAGCTATCGTTGTTTTCAATGGATAGCACCTCATGCACGCAAAGAGCCAAACGGTCAATTCAAAGACGTCTAAAGTTCAGGTATAGCCGTCCATAACCTTAAACTACGGATAACCAGCCAGTAGCACCCACCAGCACAAGGGCTTTGTCCGGCTTGTAACTGATTTATGTAATTGACTATCGTTCTTGTGATGCATAAACAGTTGGAATTGTGAGAGTGTTCAGTGCCATTGTTGCGCAAGCTTTAGACCTCCCGTTACACAGCCCATCACGCTAGCAACTAGGCCGCGCCAGACTAATTAATTAGTAAACTGCGTCTGATTGAGATGAAATACCTTGGGAAATATTTAAGATGGGTTAGCAACTTCTTAGCGTTCTGTTTGGTTTAAAAGCTTCTTGCGTTTTAAGTGTTTTAAAGCCACATCCCCTCCTACCATAAATGTAAACTTTTTTTTTAAACCTAGCTTCGCTGTCCAGTTGTTTTCTGTTGAATCACAATAAAATAAATAAATATACTTGGGCCGCTTTAAATAACTTCTTGGCAAAGTTTAAATTATTGAAGCTGGAATCTACATACGTAGGTAGATACACATACAGAGAATGTTGCCTAGCTTGCCTGTGAGTCTCTTTCCATGATTTTTGATAGATTATTCCATTTTGAGATCTTACAGGTGAAATAGGCTATCCAGAAAATTAATGAAGTTTTTTTGTAAATGTGGCACTAAACTGTAGCATACAGGCTAAAATTACCCCCCAATAAAACATATGGCATACTTTATTTCAAAATACACATTGTCGATATTTTTTTATATTTTTTGGCACTTTTGAGAATAGGGGATTTAATAGTGGAATCCGAATTTGTAGTGACATAACTGTCTGATACTTGGCAAAGTCTTACGAGCCTGCTTCATACATAGTTTTATCAGTAGCACAATTTGGTTTTCCGTATATTCATTTCCTCCAAAAATTGTAACAGAATGTACTTTTCTTTTCTTTTAACTTTAATATGAGTTTTGAGGGTTTATGTAAAAAAATATTATAGCGGTTACCAAGAGAGTCGTATAAACACCTTCAACAGGTTGTTTCCAAATATGTAATTACACGGGAATGGAATTCAAACCTCACTTGAAATTTTTTTTATAATTTGTAATGGGTACCACCACCCTGTGAATAATTACCCACTCACATTACCTGTTGGTAAATTCATGAACAATAGCTTTATGTTTTTCTCTGTAGAGACCCCTAAACAAAACATTAATGCATTTTTTAAATTGGTAAACAAGAGAAAAAAAACTGCACCCACCACCAATGTTAGGGCTGATCTTGTCTGTCGCTCTTACAGTGCATCCACGACTCCAAAGTGCGGAGCGCGTTTTTGTGGCAATGGCATGCGGACTTTGAACTCTCTGATTCACAATCCAGGCACGTTGTCCAATAGCCCACACCTAGCTCAAAATTCTAGTAGAATTAGAGTAAAAAAACAATAACTTTAATCCAAACGAAACCATGAAACAATGGGCATTTAACGTTAACACTTGAATGCAACTAAGAAGATGTTACATATTACACATGAATTGGCATATATATCCACTCGTATATAAATGATTTATTTCAGTAATACAGGATTCTGTGCGAGACGAAGGTGTAGTAAAGAATAATTAGCACTTAACAAGGTTTTAGAAACTCATGAAACAAAGACTTTTACTGCCTTTTTTTTTAACTAAAGAGAAACCAGCCACAGATAGGTACATAAGTTTTAACATCGAATTTTTTTTTCTTTTGTTGGGTGACTAAACTTCTCAATGAAATGTTCTAGCTATTTAGGTCAGTGATTTTTCTGCCATATTTTAGTTAATGCTTTCAGCAGCGGGTAGCCTATGCTGTAAAATTAAATTCCTTTGTTCGTTACTGTTTTATATTCACAAACACTTAACTTGTCCAAAGTTCATTTTATATTCAACAGACATTTGTATTTGTTCTGTCTCACATGTATAGGTATCTCTGTTTCTTATATTCTTCTCTTACAAGCCATGTTTCTTTTTCTTTTTATTCTTTCTGTTGAACTAAGTTTTTGAACCACGGCAATATATGACCCTTTCTGGAGGACACTATGATTTATTCTTTTGTGAAGTCAGAAAAAGAAAACTTATTTTTAACCTGTCCATTTACTGTTATTTTTGGGGGGTTATGATTGGCTTTCTTCAAAGTGTTAACCCTACAAACTTACAGGTTTTTTTTTTATGTTTTCAAAGCACTTATAACGAACATCTTATTTATGCCTGTAGAAAGTGTGGAACATTCGTTGCATACATACAGTACTTCAGTTAGTACGTTCAATCTTACAGATGAACACATAAGATGGTATTTTTTATTTATTGTCTTAAAAAAGTTCAGTCCACATATTGAGATGTATATGTTATGTCCAAAATATTTTAGAACCATCTACTGAGCTAGACGTCGATTATTAAAATGTTGTTTCCAATCTGAGGATCTTCTTCCTTTGTTTTTTTTAAAAAGCTAGTCTTCTTTCAGCGTTTTATTATTACACGTAATACGCAACACAGTAACATAAAAAAGGGAAAATCCTTTATTTTACATTGCGAAAGTTTAAAACGATATCAACAGTTAAAACATTTTTTTCCTTGCATTTCGGTGAGTTAAGATCTCCTACCTCTGAAGAACTGGCTCAAACACCAACAGCGGAAACCTTAAAAAGATCATTAGTTGATGTTAATTTTTGAGATCTCATCACCAAAAGTATAAGCTTTGTCCCTCTAGTGGAGTGATAGTCAATAAACACAATTTAACTCTCTTTTTTTTTTACAAGTTACAGATTTTACAGTAAGTAAGATTTATTTTCAGAACAGGCACGTCGTTTTGATCACTAATGCGATCATTCTTAAGTTGTGTACTTGAGAATGACCGCATCAGTGATCGAAACGTCGTGCCTGTTCTGAAAATAAATCTTACTTACTATGAAAGCTGTAACTTGTAAAAAAATATATACTTAATCAGTAAGCAAACTCAAAACGAAACTATTAATAATTTAACTCAGATGAGTAAACGTATAGACATTTTCTATTCAACATATATATTAAAGTAATATGTATTTATTATATTTATTTTCATTTATATAAACATAGCAACACGTAGAAACATCGCCTTTTGAATTAATGGGATTTGTCGCTAATCTATTCACTTTTTTACAGTGTTCTACTATTAAGTTTCTTTTAAAACATGGCGCAGGACCAGAAATAATAGAAAAACGGATATATAACAGTTCAGAAAGTAAGTCCTTTGTCTGGTGGCTGATTTCCTCTAAGATGTTTTATATATTTGTTTCCGTTTCCAAAGCAATATTTCAAAATTATCTTGAGTCATTTATCTTCCTCATTTTCAGATACAACACATTTCCAAAAGTTATCTGATGATAGTTCTACAGAATTCGACTTCCAGTGGAATGCCGTACCCAATACTATTGGTAAGTTGTTATTTTTTGCGCGTTAATCAATACCCATGTTATTCTCATACAAATAAAAACACATTATTTTGTGTTTTTCTGTGTTAAAAATATGACTACCTCTAGGAGTCTAAATGAAAGCACGTTTATTAAAACGTTGAGTTTATCCACACATGATCTGCAGCCTAAGTCACTTGCTGCTTATTTTCTGGTATAGATAAATCATTGTAAGATTGCAGGTATACAAGTTGAAAATTTAAATAAAGACCGTTTCTTAGGCTAAATTATGAGCTATGAGTAAAAATAGCATACATAGGATTTGTTAGCTGTACTTTGGGCACACCCATAACATTTATTTAAAACTGGGTTAATGAGCTTCAGATGTCCTATCATTTAGTCCGTAATTTTACAAATTAAGTCTACGTTATCCCTAAAAACGTAGAATAATACACGACTTATTCCAGTAATATCAGGTTATGTTATTTTACCTGCGTTTTAGCCACAGTATTTTACGTATTAAAAATATTCAAGTAAATACTCATAAAAAAATACGCCCCCCCAGTGGCACAGCGGTATGTCTGCGGACTTCCAACACTAGAATCCGGGTTTCGATACCCGTGGTGGTCTGAGCACAGATGACCGTCACATTATAACGCCCCCAC